GACAACTGCTCTACAGGGACACTCTCCATGGGGTCCCGCAAGTCTAGTATTGGGGTCTCCAAAGCCCAGCTCAACCAACTTGCCTTCAAACTGACCTCAACCCCCTGAACTGGTGTAGAGGGTTTAATGAGGCAATGAAACAAGTCTGTTCTTCCTTAAGATGCTTAAGGAACATCTCTGTTTGGAAAGCAGACTGCCCAATTGTTTGTAAACTAATTTGAAATCCTTTAACGTAGAATGTTCTAACCATTTATAAGAGAAGTGAACTTAATGATGAAAAACAGGCCTCGACAGTGTGCTGATCCAAGTGTTCTGAAGCGTGGCAGGGAGCGTGATGCTGCACATGGACCACAGCCTGGGTCTGTGAGCTCCATGAGCAGAGCACACACACAGAGCAGTGCCAAAGCACAGGCGAGATCAGAGCTTTGCCTATTGACTCATTTAACATGTTTATTAAATCACATCAATACTAATTATTATGGAAAACTCCAATGATTTTATAAGGAACCATTTCCGTGAAAAATGCTACTAAAATCCAGATAGCTCTGGAAGGGAGAACACAAGTTGAGCCAAGCCCCAGCTTCCCTGTGGTGACACACACTTAACTGCTCATGCACCACTCTGCACAAGCTGTAGAAGCAGCACTCAAGTCACACTTATCTGTAGAGCATATTCCTGAACAACTCTGCCATAAAAAGTGGCTTTTGGCTACGATGCCTCTAAATCTCTTACTTTCCACTTAGCTGACTGCATTCAGGTTGGGTTACCTAGTGCACAAGGATGGCTCAGTGCATGCTTACCTCCAGCACTGCGGATGCTACAACTCTTCCAAAGGCAGATGGCTGGCATGAACCCATCTGTCACTTCAACATCCCTCACCTTAAAAGCAGCAGTGGGATCTGCCAATATGCTGCAAATATGCCCACCTGCAGTGCTGTGTCCAGCTCTGGAGTCCTCAGCACAGGAAAGACATGGACCTGTTGGAAAGAGTCAGGAGAAGGGCTACAAAACTGATGCGAGGGATGGAGCACCTCTCCTATGATGGAGCACCTCTCCTATGAGGAAAGGCTGAGAGAGGTGGGGTTGTTTAGCCTGGAGAAGACTCTGGGGAAACTATTCCGACCTTTCAGTTCTGTCGCTTCTGCTCTAACTGAAGATGCCCCTGCTCATTGCAGGGAGGTTGGACTAGATGAGCTTTGAGGGTCCCTTATAACCCAACCTATTCTGTGATCCTCAGTGCCAACCTACAACCAAACCAAGAGTGCAAACTGATGGTGTCTGGCATGGCCATGTCCTGTTTGCACAGCATCACCAAACAGTCACTGAGCTGTGACCACACACCCAGGAGCTTTGTGTTGTCTTAGTGACCAGAGAACAGAGACTGCTGTTTTCTCAGCAGAGTGACTGCGGCAAGCAGCTTGTTTTACATGGATTAAACAATCATTGACACTGTCACAGAAAGGGGCTTTTGGATGGAGCCTGCTACAAGGATAATACAGTGAATGGATTTATTTTTTTTACCCTGAGCTCTCAGAATGTTTAGGAAATGCTGGTTATTAAAGGGGCCTAAAAAAAACACTGGGGGGAAGGGAGAAGGGGTCATGCAATTAAAACTGTGCCATTCCTAAATGTAGCCACAAATCAGTAACTAGAGGAAGAGGAAACTTACCATTTAAAGACAAACTGATCCTATTAGGAAGCCCAGGAGCTTGAAGCAGCAATTGTCAAGAAGAGAATAAGGAGTATTACCCTTGAAAATATATACAAATTTTAATTACAGCTGGCAATTTTGAGACTGGTGCTGAGGACTGCCATCAGATGGCAAATTGCTGTCATCTTCTTCCCCTTGGGGACATGAATGCTCAGTGGAAACAACTGTAACTGTAAACCAGGCTCCAACCTGTTCTGATACTGGCTTTTCAGTTGGAAAGGAAACCTTAAGCTGTCATACTTAGATAAGCCAGTGTCAACTGAGCAAGGCCTCTCCACAACATGACAGGGGATGGTAAAACCTTCCAGCTATTAGCACACAGGTCAAGTCTGACCATGTGGGGTGAGAGGTTCCCTTCAGCTCTGCTTCTCCACAGCCCTGGCAGCAGCAACCACTGCAGAGCAGGGCCTGTAAAGCAAACCCTGTCTTCCCCATGGATTCATCCGCATTGGGCTGCCTTTGCCTTCAGAGGATCCCTGCTCATTCCAGGTGTTTGGAGTTAGGCTCTACCAGGATCATGAGTCAGTGCTTCCCACTGCTCAGAGCAAACCTCCCACCTAACACAGGAAAATCATGGAAAATCAAAGCCTGATTTTTCTGAGTTTGGGCAACCAAAAGCCAGCAAAGTTCTGCTAAAGAAGCCCAGGCTGTGCTGGAGCACCACTACGCAGATCCGCTCTCAGCTCTCTTATACATGGCTGTGATGGCAAATTCAGTTCTCCATCGCTCACAAGCTGATGTATGGAGAGCACAGGCAGGCATCTGAGGAAGAAGAGGCAGCTACAAGACACTGTCCTTTGAAAATAGGCACAAACTGCAGACTTCAGCTTCTGAAATAAGGACCTGGACTCCAGTCCTCTTGCCCTGCTCTTTCCAGTTCTCTGCAAGCTTGGAAGGGGGTAATGCTAGAGAAAAATGGATCCCAATCCAGTGTTTAACAAAGACAAAGATGGCATTTCTATGAGCTGACTTACAAAACTGCCCACTGAACCAAAGACTGAAAAATAGCAAATATCTTCTCCAAACAGGAGGTGGGTTTAAAAGAGCCATTTCTTATTTAACAGAAGGAAGTGAAAGAAAGCAGCAGCATTTTAAAACCAACACAAAAGAAGTAAGGGGCTTTGATATTGATAACAGAGTTAAAGAAGCGTGTGCTGTCAGTCAGCTCATCCTTCTGACCCACAAGACACCTTGCCTGCTTTTTGGCTCTGTCTCTGGGCAGCGTACCAAAGATCTAACACAAAATAATTGTCAGTTCCTTGTGACTTTGAGTGGAAACCCCAGCGCCAAGAGGGAAATCTGCTGAGCTTTGATGTAGACATTTTGGTAGCATCTATGCCTTCCCACCTCCGAACACTCATTTGATGTATTGTTGAGTAAGGTATTTGTTATCTTCTCAGAGAACATGCATGTAGCTTGGTAAATCTATTTCCTGACTGCCTTCCAAGACAGATAGTACACGGGTTGTTTCTGAGACATGAGTTTATCTGATACAGGGAACAAGGCTGGAGACAAATGGAGAGACCTCCAAAGTGCTGGCATTACCTGTCACTCTGAGGTCCTCCTCTGCTTTCTTCCAGGTACACTGCACAAAAAAGCAGGTTCCCTGCATGTAAACTGTGCTGTAATTTCATTTTCATCTAACACATCAAGGGTTTAGGAGATAGCCTCCCCTAGATCAGGAACACACATCGGCAGCAGCAGGGATGGCATTGTTTCCCTCCAAGACTATGCACTGTCCATCAGCACAGGTTCAACCGTTCCTGCATTGGGATGGACTTTTCCCACTGCCAGTGCCCCAGCACACTCCAATCCAGCCATTACAGCATGAGGCTGGTTATTCTCCTGCCAGCATTAAATTGTGATAGGTTTTTCTCAGCCTCTGCCAGGCTCTCCCTTTGATGAGCATGGAAAGGGCCACACTTGACACTTTATTCCACAGCCTCAGGAAGCTGGGGCTCTCCAAAGATGTTTTGGGATTTTGCCATGAGCCTCTTAGGAGTATTAAAGCATCCTGGATGAGCAGCACTGCAGCATGGCCATACCAGTATTAGTGGCAGGTCCTTTCCACACTGTTCCTGTGTTTCTATATATGCCAGATACACCAGTAGCTTTTGCAATGACCCTTTATAACTGCACCAAATTCCTTATGGAAAACAAAACTGAGGGCGTTTCTATAAGACAGGGAAGGGTACCAACATACTGGCCTGGCTGTGGGGTCAGCAGCACACCCTCAGTGCTCCCCCCTCTTCCTTGCTGAGGCCTTAACCTAATCCTTTTATACAGGATTGCTGTGAGGCTGTAATTCCCTGGGTCATCCCTTTATCTCTTCTGAATTATCCTGGCAAGCCTCTAATCTTAGAATTTTCTTCTTATTTCCCAGGATTTGATTTACTAAGTTTCACCCCCAGAGCTCCCCATTAGCTGGTGTAAGGTTTGGCTGGGCTTTGCTTCTTGTTGTTCCTGTGAAGTTTTAGGAATGCCTTTCTCTGTCCTGTAGCACTTCAGTTATTTGTAGCACACACGTATTTCTACCCTGCCTTACCATGTGAGAATGATGCATAAATACGCACCAAAGAATGATTTATAAATGAGAAGCTCAAGTTCTTTCACAAGTGCTGATTACCAGTTTAACCACACAGGTATGTTGATCATTACATCCAGTGCACAAAAGGTAACTGAAGCCCTGGCAAAGCACGACACCCCCCTCTAGAAAGAGCAACTCACATCCATCACTTGGAAGTGATCAAAATGCCCTTTCCCAGCAAATTATACAGTCACCAGTGTCCACGATTTGAACAATTCCTGCTTGCAGCAGACCTGGGTTGCCCTCCCTGCCATGCCAGCACATCCAGAAACAACCAACCCAGCCTTGCACAGGAGATAAGGACCTCTTACAAAGGTACAAAGAACTGAGCGTGTTTAACATCTCGCTGGATCAGCCTCCTAATGTGTCTAAAACAATGGAAGAGGAAAGCATGTGTTCTTTTCAGCACAATCTGTGCCTTATAATCAAGTCTAAACATTCACAACCTGCTCAGATCCTAATGAGGAGAATGACTTAAATGGCAGAATGTTCTGCTCTTTCTACAGGTTTACAGAAATGAAATCAAACATAGGCTTTCTATTACAAAACAATAGGCAAATTGAAGACCAATTACGCAAACCCATCAGAGAACCTGGTGAACTGTGGAGAATTTTGCATTTCTGAGGCAGAACGACTTCTTAGATGAAAAAAACAACCCTCTACTCGAAGAAATTGAGAACATCTGTGCCATCAAAGAAAGAATGCAGTGAATAATTGGACAATCATAGGCAGGCAGGCATTTGAATATGAAGCCGTTTGTAATGGCGCAGTGGAAGGGGAGCTGCAGCCCGCCAGCACTGCTTGGCTCTCAGACACCCGTGTTCTTCCCTTTGTGCCTACTATGGCACGCTCTGTGCTCACTTTACAAGAGGCTGTGGGTCAACAGCGGGGTCTCTGGGGTTATCTGCTTCCATTATTTTGCACATCAGGCACCTGAGGAAAAAGGAGCAGGCAGAGAGGTCCTTGAGCATTTCCTTCCTCCAGCATCCAAGTTCAAGTCCACCTTTAACCTCTCCCTGACAGACAGCTCAACCTGCAGTCATCCCCCCAGCCAGCTGACACATAGCATAGAGCAAATATCCTCTCTCTGTCAGCAGACAAACTTCTCTGACTCCTTGCCTCCAGCAATGATGATATCCTCATTTCCAGCCTGCAAATCCCATACAGACACTCCTGAAGGGGAGACACACTAAGACACCTCGCAGCCTGAAACCTTGCAGATGTGACCCTTCACTGCACCAGTTGATGGCACCTAACTGCAGGCTGGCCTGCTCTGACACACAGGCACAGCAGCCAAGGAGATCCAAGCTACTGAGGCCACAGTCCAGCTCTGACTGGGGAGATTTAGGTTAGATGTAAGGCAGAAGCTCTTCCCTGTGAGGGTGCTGGGGCGCTGGCACAGGGTGCCCAGAGAAGCTGTGGCTGCCCCATCCCTGGCAGTGTTCAAGGCCAGGTTGGACACAGGGTCTTGGAGCAAGCTGCTCTAGTGGAAGGGGTCCCTGCCCGTGGCAGGCAGTTGGAATTAGATGAGCTTTAAGGTCCCTTCCAACCCAAACTATTCTAAGACTCTATAACTGCAGCATCCAATATTACTTTTTCCCAGGAAGAAGAGACTGAGCTGGACGTATATTGCTTCCAGCATCACATACCACTGTACCAGCTCCAAACCGTTCCACAACCTCTCTTGCAACACAAAATGCTCTGCTATGTGTTGTGAAGCCACAATATGAGGGCAAATGTTTCAGGCCATCTTCCAGGACAAAAAAAAAGGGGGACAATAAAAGTGAGCAACTTAGTTGTGATTTCATGGCTAGTTGCACAGATATTCACATGTTACTTTGCACAGTCAGTCTAATAACCAGCTTTCAGAAGGACAGACAGCGTAATGAATGGGTTGTAAAACAGGCTCATAAAAACCATTATAGCATGTCTTGGAGCATTTGTTGGCTGTTTGTGATTTACTGGATTCCCTGTTTTACATTTTCTTATAATTTGCACATTTCCTATGAAAAATAAGCATTCAATGTGCATGCAATTTATTTTAATCACCCTCCCCCCTCACAAGATGATAAAACTTTTACAGTCAGGCAAGAATGGCAATGTTGTAGTCACGAGGTTCATTATACAGTAATTAATACATGTTAGTATCCTGTAAATATTATGTTATAATGGCTTTAAGTAAATACATACTGTACATTAGCAGTACCTATTAAGTCAGTGCCACTTAGAATGAAATGGGACTAATTAATCTGTTTAAAAACTCTAATGTCAACTTGGATATTCTTTCAAAATCACAGTACAATGTTGCAAGCACGAGTGGTGAGTCAGTCAGCTTTTCACTATGGAACTTTGACATTAATGGCTACTTTCCTGGTTTATTTAAGTGGATTGGACACATGAGCCAGCACTTAAGAAGCAAGAGGGGTAGAAGGAAGGTTTCATTGTTACCAGAAGCTAGAAAGATGGAATAATATATCCCATTACAGAATAATATATCCCATTACCCTTACTGTGGAATGGCTGCAAACTTGCACGTGGATTATTACCGCGGCATCTCACTGCAGAAAGCCCAGCCTCTCAGCACCTGATACTGCTCCGCACGGACAATGCAGCCAAGCAAAGCTGCCATCCTCTGGGAGGAACTGTGGGGACTCCACTGTGGTTTGTCCCTTTTAGGCATTGTATCACTTTATGAAGGGCTGGTGCCTGCCACAGCCACACAGTAACAGAAGCAGAGGCTTTGTTCTCTTCTCAGCTAGACGGTTAGACGCTGCCTTTGTCCTGCACAGTGTTTTCCTTCCCTTCCTGAACGGCAGCCCCTCACAAGCCTATCGGCCTTTTAATGATTTCAGTCACTCTCCACTGTCCTAAATACACAAAAGGAAAAAACCCCACAATCAGATTCCCCCAGTTCTTTCACTTTTTTTTTTTTCTTATGCTCTGCCATGAAGCACAAATGCAAGACAAGGTGAAACATGCTGAATGTGGGACCCAGGAAAGGTCACCTTTCCCTCACCTATGCACTCAGTGAGAATAGACAGCAGAAGGCAAAGTTTTTTCCAACGTATCTTTATGTATTCATTTTCCATAGAAGTCTTCATCTTAGGACACAATTGTCTAATGAATGCCTTACTCTAATGATGAGACATTCTCATTCGCTGCTGGATATGCGTAGGCAGCTATCTCCAGTGTTACAGATACCAAAAGATAAATAATACAGCTCTCCTGATTGCAGCCATAATCTTTACCCAGAGTGGGGGACAGACATTTCATAAACACACAGTGGGGCTGTCACAGAGCAAGAGATCAGAGCCAGTTCTCCCAAGTTCTTCATCAACATCTGTGGTCCCAAAGGTAACTTCACTGGTAACTTCAAAGGTAACTGTGCTCTCCAAAGGTAACTGCACTGAAACATAATTGCATTAATAGAGTTCCACCACAAAGTTTCAAGATTAAGAAGCTTGCTTTTAACTAATGGAAACTGTTAAAGTCCTCCTTCCAGATACTCAAACATAACGCCAGGGCCACAGATACAAGAGGTCTTGGGCTCTTTCCATTTTCCACAGTCAGTTCCTTCAGGCTTTACCATCAAACACAACCTGAATACGCTTTCTTTGGAAGACTGATTTCTCTAGGCACTTATGTAGCCCATTCCTTGAGATAATGGTTTTGGTAATACATTTTGTGGGGTATCCACAGCCTTCAAGGTAATGCTGGAACCAACACATCCTCCCTGGGTGGCTGGGGAAGCACAGCCGAGACAGAACTCTTAATGCTGGAAGGAATTTCAAGATGATGGGGATAAATAACAAGAGCTCAAGAAAGACCAAAAACATATGTGTAAACAGCAAACTGGTCTAGAAGCTGTGGTCTGGCTGAGCAATGCTGAACTACACTGAAGACAAGAAAATTTAAGGTCTATTTTCCTTCCCTTCCTCCTGAGGTCAGCAGCTGCTGCCTGGTCTCTAGCAAATCAGGGCAGTGTGAAACTGCAAACCCTTGCCTCAAGCAATTACCCATCAAAAGAGATCACTTCAGGTGTGAAGCACAACCTCTGGCTTTTCGGCTACTCTGCAGAGAGAAAGGGAACAGGAGAGCTCCGAAACGTGGCTCCTCTGTGTTACAGAAGCCCCTGAATTCTTGCTTTCTTTCTAATGCAGTGGGTTTAGAAATAAAGAACAGCATTCCATGGCTTGCTGGTGAATACAAATGCATGGCTAAATAGCACAGCAAAGAGGCAGAGCTACTGGCTGGAGGCGGGAGATCTGCATCCCATGATGGGATCTCCCATAGCTTTCTTCAAAGGTAAATCACTTAACAACCCGGTGCCTCAGTCTCCCTACTGCTAAATCACTGTAATGTTTGGCTGCCTCCTAAGATGTTGCTGGGCTCATCTAATTAATATTCACAAGGCATCCAGAGATAAAGCAGTTTTGTAAGTGTATTGTGTGGCTTGTAATCTTTTGATGCTGCCATGCAAAGGAGACGTCACAGAGCATGGGAATACCCCGGGAGAGCTCCGGGTCTGCTTTTTGCTTCCGAGAGCTCTTTTCTTGCAGTGACCCCTTCTTTCAGCAGCACATTCACCTTGGCCTCTCATGAGTGGGAGCAGTGTGCAGCATCTCTGCTATAGACCTCCATAAGCCATGAAAACCTGCTGTTATGACCAGAGAGAAGTAAGCAGCACCATTATTTGTATTATTTGCTGAGGTTTGTAACCTAGAATTAATTTTCAAATCGAGTCCAGCTGCTGCCTATTTCACCCATATCTGGGTAGCAGACAAGAACCCTTTTAGCAACAGAAGCAAAAAGAGCTCCAATCAAGCAGCTTAAGGCACAACCCTCTAATAGTTCAGTAATCAGTAATAATCAACCCTTCTCTTTATGCTCAGGGAGACCTAATAGAACCCAGCTACTCTACAGCGAATACATTTTCATTTCTAAGACTAAATGCAAGCATACGTTATCTACTTAATTAAAATCTAAATTCTCTAACTAACCATTTGTTGTTTCTCCTGGGTGCACGTTACATACATTACTGGTGTTTTCCTGAAATCCATTGCTAATGGATTAAAGTAACTCAAGGAAGTGTTTCATCTGCTGCATGCGGTTAGGAAAGAGCACAACATCCTCTGTAGGGAACTTCTGCACTGTTATCCCAGGACTGCAGCTCTCACTTCTCTGTGCTAGGAACCCCAATCCTTCCTGCAGGTCCCTCTTGTCTTTGGGGACAAGGAAAACAGGACTCTCCCAAACACCAGCAGAACCGCTCAGACTTGGAACTCAGCTTTTGAGTGCTCAGTCCAGAAAACTTCCACAGTACAGCCCTGATGGGGTCACAGAGTCATAGGGGCTGAAGTGGAGGTGGGGAGGGGGAGTGTGACTGGTGGGTGTGAGCGGAATTATTAGCTACAGAAGGGGAGAGACTAGAGATCCTAAAGGTACAAGTCTACTGTCAGGCTTGACAGACGTGACACAGACCCTGCACCCTCTGAAGTAACAGCTCAAATTTCTCCTGTAAGGATTTGAACATCATTGCACCCCTGGTGATGAAACATCCCTTTCCTTGCTCAGGAAGCAGGGCATTTTTCATGCCTCTCTTTCCCAGGTGAGCAGAGAACCTCCATCCACCCTCTGTGGGAGGAGAGCTGCTCCCTTCTCCCATGAGAGCCTGGGCTTTATGTACAAATTATGACTGTATTCAAAGGGTCACAATCTTTACCACTGGTGCAAAACCTGCCTTGTTCCCTGGCTCTCGAAGGTTATGTTTTCTTGTTCCTGCAGCTCCTTTGCATAGATGTTAAATACCAGTAACTGTTTTGAGTATCATGAAGAAATGTCTTCAGGAAACAGGAAAGCAGGGAGTGGGAGAAGAGGGGTATAATATCAAATCAAGACTCATGGCTACTGCTCTTGAATGGAAGGAACCTCCTGACAGCCTCACATCATTACTGCAAATCACAATATTTAGAGAGATGCCACCAGGAATTCTGCTTTGCTTCCAGCAGACACAGAGTAAAAGGGCACCTCCTTCAAGCTATTCAGTCTATTGTGCATATAATTAAAAACGATTTCTATCCTCAATAGGGTTTTGATTCAGGTAACTCATTACCCCCAAGAGCCATTTGTGAGACTAAATTGCAAATGCAAATTAACACCAGCTTTAACAATGATGCTTTTTTTCTTCCTCCTTTCTGTCTCTTTTACTAAATCCCTTTTATTTTTTAAGTTCTCTTTCCTTTGCTCTCAGGCAGGTGTCCAGATAGATGCAGGTGTACCTGCCAGGGGACAAAGAAGGGCTTGTGCTCCTCTGATTAGATATGATTTTGTGCTCCCTTGCTGCGTGCAGTATGGTCATGCCGGCCAATCCCAGTGCAGTGCTAGAGCTGCAGTCCAACACAGAAGAACCTGCCTCTTCCCACTGCAGCCCCACACCAGGGCTCTTCTGTCAGCCCAGAGAGATGAGCTACTTGCTGAGGATAAAGGCAGGAATTCCCCCAGATGTCTCTGCACACACAACAAGCAATTGTTCTGATTATTACTGCAATAGGAGTAAAAGCATCCATGCATCCTCTGCAGGGAAACCAAACCTCTCTTGTTCACCTGTACTTGACGTGCTTTGCTCTCTAACAAGCCATCATTTTGTTTTATCATGTCATTCTAATTGTGTTGCACGCAGCTCTTCACCTCCTGGCTGTACATCCAGTCTGACGCTGCCTCAGATGAGGCAGAGCCTAAGGACGCCTGCTATTCTGCACAAAGAGGAGAGCAGTAAATACAAGAACTGAGAGGCTTTGCTTCTGTTCCTTGCTTAGACAATACGTGACCACAGCAGCAGCGTGGAGTGACAGGAGTTTTTGGATTTGGTTTGAAAGGGCAGAAGTGCGTGCACAGCGAGGCTGCATTCATCAAACACCACTTACCCACATGCTCACATCAAAAGCAGAGGCAGAGTCCCTTGTGCTTCCCATCAAACACACACAAAAGGCCAAACAGGTAAAACTGACCAAATAATTATTGGTAAAAGCTAGAAGCAAGCCAGAAATCCAGACCCCAGGGGATGCCTGAGATGCAGAGACAGTTGCTGCTGTGGGTCCCTGCTGGTATAGTAACAAAAAGGCAAAGGTGTTATTTATTGCCCTTTATCCCTGTAGCATTTGATGTCTTTAATGCAGTCTGCACACAGGAGTGTGCTGAAGTGCTCTTACTTCCATTTCCAGTGTGAGGAAAGACAGACAGCCTCATATACTCAAAAGGTACTTGAGCACCTAATGCCCTTGGAAATCAGTTGTAGTGGAGCTCTGAAACACCTCAGAAAAGCACACACACCTGAGGGGCTTGTCCAGATTCCCAGTGCTGTGAGCTGTACATTGGCACCTCATCAAAAGCCCCGAGGTGGCACTGAGGGGAGAGCACCTCCCAAGGGCTAGGCTCTGCCACTGTGGTACCCACAGGCCCAGCTGGCCTTATCCACCCAGCAAGGATGCCTGGCAAAAGGAAAGCTGCATCTCAAGCATGGAGAGCACCAGTGTGTCCAGAGTCAGAGCACCAAGGCTGGAGGACGTGTTTTAGAGCACCCCTTCTCCACAGTGTAAATTTAGTGGGGGTCCCAAGGATTATTTCCTGTTTTACAGCAAGTGGAAGGATTCTGAGGATCCTCTAACTCCTACGTGAGAATCCCAGCTCTGCTCCTTGTTTTTCCCATGGCCTTCAGCAAGTGATTCTTAATCTTTCCATGTTCCCATCTGGAAGAGCCAGCTACTGGCTCCAGCCTTAGATTTGATGGATTAACTTGCTACTAATTCCAACGTGTTCGACAAGTGCTGAGTATCTCTTACTAATCAGCAGAAACTTATTAATTCTCATTATGAGTGCTTCTCATGTCCTTTCTGATAAAGCTCACTGGGAGATACAATAGTTCTAAAGAACAGAGGCACAGTCCCTTGGAAAATCAGCAGGAAAAGAAACAATCAGCCTATTTCTCTGCAAAAATAACTGCATATCATTATGGGAATTTGCCCCACATTAGATTTCCAAAGGAATTTTCCACTCACTCAATTTCTTAATATTAGAGCTTTTTTTCCCCACAGAGAAACTGCCTTTTTAACCCACATTTTCTGGGTAATTGGACTGGAAATGGGTTTTCCATGGCAGAGGATGGAGCTGGCCCCTCACAGATGCCAGCCCAGACCCCAGAGGCTCTTCAGTTTCTCCCCTGAACATGAAGCTGATGCCAGCCTTCCCAGTGGGTTGCCAGATGCTCCTCACCACTCCATTCCCTCCCAAGACAAAGTGCCAGAAAGCATCCCACAAAGCAGAGCTCCTCAGGAAACTCTGTCCTGCAGAGCAATACAGCTGCTTGCATTTGGGATGAAGGGAAGCATCTCCCACTTGTGAGGGTTATTCATCACAGCTATGAAGGATACCATGTATAAGGCTAAATTCACAAAGTGCTCTCAGGACTGAAGTCAAACTCCCACGTCCAAATGAATTTGAACAGAGACAATCCCCTTGTGATGGTATTTGCAGGACTCTGGCTGGGATGCAGGTGGTGCCATGAACCACACAGGGAGCTCCCATTCCAGATACTTCTCTTGAAATGCAAATTCATGACAACCATAGTCCTTGCTGACACATTGGTCACCTCTGGAGCTACAACACTGAACCACTACAACCTGGGGCAGCAGCAGGCTCCCATGCTCTACCTGTTGAGACACCAGAATAAGTAATCTTAAAGCCAAGAGGCCACTTTTCCATACTAGAGATGGAGTTTTCAGTTTGACCAACCAGTCATGGAAGAGTCTGGAGGTATAGGGCAGGGAGGAAATCCCATAATTTCCTTTCTAGCAGGCAGATGCTCCCTTCCCAAACAGCACACAACAAAAATAAGAACTTCCTTCAGACGTTTTCCTATCAATGGAGCAACCTGCCTAGACACCCAATACCACCAGTGAATGCTGAGGGTGGCAATTGCGATGGCTGGACAGGACAGGAGGAGATCCCAGCATGGGGAGGTGTCCAGTCTTGCCACCTCCAGGCTGTACAGAGCTACTCTTTTAAGAGCTGCCTGGATTTGGAGCCTCCCAAAACAGAGTCATTTCCACATCACCTTACTGAGCTTATTTGCAGCCGCAGGCTCACTGCAGCAGCAGTATTTTGCTTGCAAGCCAATGCACAGCAATGTTAATAGGGTATCTGAAGAGACATTTTAGTTGTGAGCTGTTGTCTTTCTTAGCTGAAAGTACACCAGTGCACCCATAAAAGTAATATAATCTCAGAAGCAGGAGTACTGCTGCAAGGATTGGTTAGAGCCAGGCTTATGTTGCTGTATGTTCCCAGGAAAATCCCCAGGATGACTGTGCAAGAGCCACTGAGCCAGGTAAAGGGCTCAGCATGGCTCTCACTGAGGGTCTCCTGAGTCCCCTCTGCTCTCACAAGCACTTCTGAGGTTCTGCTCAGTGCCACCTAAGGCCAGAGAGCTGAGTCCTGCTGTATTATTAGATCCACCACCTTAACCATATGTCCATGCTGGTTAAAGCACAGCTCTGGTCCCGAGACAATCTTTCTGCATAACCCTTGGCAGGAGATTAAACATTGGTGAACTCCAGTTCTCCTTCTGCTAAACAAGGAGCACACGGACTGGCAGTGCAGTGACCCAGAGACTGGGCAGGGCTGGACACATCAGACACACTGATGGATGTGCATACACTGAGTAAATAACAGTGTGACCCTCTAAATGCCACTGCCATGCAACTGAACGTTATACTTTGGGGGCATCAGATGGATGTTTTAGGCAACCCAGCCACTGCTTAGCCTAAACATTCTGTGTACTTGTCTGTAGCCTCACAATTCCTGTGGTATCTTTTACAGTCTACATAAAAGCAAGCAGAAAGAACATCCCGCCTTGCTAATACATCCAAGCAAAGCCATTAAGGTATCCCCAGCTGCAATCTAAAACCATGGGAACAGGCTGACAGCCCAGTGTTGCTGTTTCCTCTATGTCTAGACCTCCTGTGCCTTACTCTCTCCCCTGTGAGACCCATTGCAGGAACAAGAGTATTAGTTATGGTCACCTAGCAATATAACTAGGTCTTAAGGGAGTCTGCAGTCTGCCTATCATGTAGAGCTCTAGCCTGGAGGATCTGCTAATCCACCCGTGCTGCTCAGCAGAGTGTGAGAGAAGCTTACACACAGGGAATGGAAGGCAGCTCAGCCCCAGAGGTTGAGTCCTCTGACCCTGGCTGAATCATTTCACTCACTATTAAAACAGCTACGTG